CCCCTATGTCAATGACTTTTCATCTAATACCCAGCCCTTATTCAAATTTCCCTGTCACCAAATCAAATGAGAAAATATATCTAAATACAAACTTCTGTACTTTTTCTTCAAGGACCAGCATGTAGTACATGAATGGCACGTTATGCCCAGATGATCCTTCCTTGCTTTAGTCTGCCTCCAAACTCATAACCAGCCTTCAAACTTCTACACAGCCATATGCTCCTCTTGGAAGCTTCCCCTGAACCTCCTCATCCCCCTCCAGATCACACCTTTCCCTGTGCTAACTCATTACTTTGTACTAAGGTATCTCAACTGAGATACTTTATGTGCTTATGGTATTTACATATCTACCATGCCCCTGGACCTTATTTCACCCAAAACAGTATATGGCACCTAGTTGGAATCCCATAAATATTTAACTGACAAAGAATTCTGGCATATGTGCATAGCAGATATCCACAAGTATTTATTGCAGTGAACTGATTTTATAAGCTACTATAAAAATATAGGGAGATACACAATTGAGAGCAAGGATTCATTTGTTCTATGCCTATTATTTGTGAAATCTAGGGAAAGTCATAACCTCTATGGGTCTCTCATCTCAATGGCAAAATAAGAAGGATGTACTAGAGATCCAAGATGTTATGACCCTAGATGCTTTGGAATAAGGTCTTCAATATTCATTCTACTATGTTTTCAAAACCATCTTTAGACTAATAATACCAAGTGTTGGCGAGGATGTGGACTAATGGAACAACTAGAACTCCATACACTGCTCGTGGGAGTAAAATATGGTACAGCCATTTTGGAGGACTTTCTCGGCAGTTTCCTTCTAACACTGAACATTACACTTACCATACAAGTTAGCAATTCTACCCCGAAGTAATTACCTAGGAGAAATGAAAATGTATACCCACACAAAGACTTCAAGCCAAATGGGGAAACAACCTAAATGTCCATTGACAGGCAAATAGATAAAAATTGTGGGTGGTACATATACATACAATGGAGGAAGATTCAGCACTAAAAAGAAACTAATTTACTGATACACACAAGACCATGGATGACTCTCAAAAGCATTATACTATGTGTAAGAAGCCTGACATAAAATAGTAGTTACTATATGCTTTCACTTACATGAAGTTCAAGAACAGACAAAAACAAATTTATGATGAAAACAATCAGAACAATGGTTGTCTCAGAGTGGGCAGAGTTGGCCAGAAAGGGGCGACAGGGAACTTCCTAGAGTAACAGGAATATTCTACATATTGATCTGGGCAATGGTTATAGAAGTGAATACATATGTGAAAATTCATTAAACTGAATATTCAACATCTGGACATTTTATTATATGTAAATTATGTCTTGATTTTTAAAGTTTAAGCCATACAAAATTAACAACAAAAAACAACTTGTAAATGTTTATACTTACCTCCTTTTCTTTTGAGCAAGGTTGAGTTCCATAAATTTATACTTCTGGTACTGTTCATCCAGCTTCTTTAGTACTGTATCTGCAGTCTCATTCCCAGGCTGTTTCATGAAGGAATCTACATCTTCCTTTAATATCAAAATAACACAAGTTTTAGACTTTTTTTTAAGAGATTTTAAACCCTGAAATCATGACCTGAGCCAAAACCAAGAATTGGTCGCTTAACCAACTGAGTCCCCCAGGTACTCTCAAATTTTAAAATTCATACCTCTAATCTGATTTTTGACTGCTTGAAAT